TGGGAGTGGCGGGGGGGGGTCCCCGCCTGCCCTCTCCATTGCGGGAGTGGCTGGTCCCCCACACACAGAGCCAGCCCGGCAAAAAGACTCGAGCCAGGCCACCAGTTAGGCCAGTCGTCTCAGGGACAGGAGTGGAGTCTGGAGGGGACCAGGTGATGATAGTGCTGTCCACAGCCCTCGGGGCTTCCCTGGACTACGGGGGACTATGAGCTCTGCTCAGAGCTGACCCTGACTAGGCCGAAGCCTCCTGCCAGGCGTGCGGGGTGTGGGTGCCCCCTGAGTCCTCTCGGCTCTGAGGTCCTCGTCCATGAAATGAATTGACAGAGGCTGGCCGGAAGCCCTGGGAGCGGAGCAACTCAGTGGAGAAGCCTGTGTCCTCATTACTGTCCAGGTGAGCTGCCTTGGGACGGGCCGAGCCGCGAGTCTGCCGGGGCAGGGGGGTGGCCCCGATTCATGTGTCTGTCCCGTTCCATTGCCCTAGAACTCCGTCTGTGGCAAAGAGTCCCGAAGCTAAGAGCCCCCTTCAGTCGCAGCCTCACTCTAGGTACTGAACCACCCTCCACCCACGTGTCCTCCCCCCTGGGGCCTCTTGTTCCCTGTCCCATGACTAACACCCCGAACCCTGTGTCATGTCCTAGCAGTTAACAGCTTGCTCCGGGAAGGGTGGCCTGTTCTTGCAGACACAAGGAAGGGAGAGCTGGAGGGACTGGGGGTCGGGCAGGCCAGCTCCTTCCTGTCCCCAAGAGAGGAGACAGGCCCGGGGAAGGGCTGCCGGCGCAGAGGCTGCGGTGGGCTGACTCCATCCCAGCCCTGGACTCATGTAACAGTAGGCAGTTAGCGTCATCCCCAAGCCTCCGTGTCCCCACACAGGGAGGTCTGTCCCTCCCTGTGGCACAGGGCAGGTGTGGGGACAGCAGGACAGGAGGTGCTCACTTAGCCTGGTGGCTGCGCACAGCTGAATGGCCCAGGACCACCCAGCACCTACTCCACCCCTCCAGCCCAGCCTCCTTCCTCGGCGTGTGGCCGTGTCCCAGACCTTCCGACCGTGTCCCCAGCCAGGAGTGGGTGTGGGCTGGACAGGGTATCTGGAACAGAGGTTGCCCCAGAAGTCAGAGACAACCAAGCCAGCAGTAACCAAAGCCCAGCGTGACCTACATGGATGGCTTCTAGGGCCCGCGCCAAGCAGCACCAGCAGGAACTGGCTCTTGTCACAGCATGGGTGGCAGGACCAGGGTGGTGATGAGCAGGGACGAGCCCTGGCCTGGTACTGGCAGGAACAACAGTGTCTGAGGTAGTGGGCAGAGGTGAAGCAGTGCAGTGGCCCACCAGGCTGTGTGTGTGGGAACTGCCCCTGTCTGCAGGGAGCTCCATGTAAACAAGACAGCTGGGGGCCAAGCAGGGCTGTGGAAGGCCTAGAGAGCACATGGCAGACCTGGGCAGTCCTGGGCGCCAGCATGGAGTTGACTCATGTGCGCAGGGATGGCCTTCCAGGCTGGAGGAGGGGAGTCTGAGCTGGTGACCACCTAGCGAGTCCAAAGGCCAGGAAGCAGGAGTGGGCTGGGCAGTGGAGGGCCAAGAGGGCATGGGCGAAGGGGACAGTGGCTGGAAGTTTGCAGCGCAGTCTGTGTGGGGCTCCAGTCAGGCCATGGCACAGGGCCACACGGGACAGCCCTGCGGTACTCGGCGCTCAGCTCTGGCTGTGGAGAGGCGGGGGCGCAGCAGGGCAGGGACAAGAGCGGGCCCTTCCTGGTGGGGTAAGGATCTGGGTGGGCTTTGTGTGCCTTCACTGGGCGGGACCTCATCCAGGCTGCCCGGCCTGGAGTGGGGTCTCTTCGCAGCTCCAAGCCTGATCTGTCCTCTGTACAGATGACCCTGTGGAGGGCCGTCTGCTGCCCCGTCTGTCACGGTGCCTGTCCAAGCCTGATCTGTCCTCTGTACAGATGACCCTGTGGAGGGCCGTCTGCTGCCCCGTCTGTCACGGTGCCTGTCCAAGCCTGATCTGTCCTCTGTACAGATGACCCTGTGGAGGGCCGTCTGCTGCCCCGTCTGTCACGGTGCCTGTCCAAGCCTGATCTGTCCTCTGTACAGATGACCCTGTGGAGGGCCGTCTGCTGCCCCGTCTGTCACGGTGCCTGTCCAAGCCTGATCTGTCCTCTGTACAGATGACCCTGTGGAGGGCCGTCTGCTGCCCCGTCTGTCACGGTGCCTGTCCAAGCCTGATCTGTCCTCTGTACAGATGACCCTGTGGAGGGCCGTCTGCTGCCCCGTCTGTCACGGTGCCTGTCCAAGCCTGATCTGTCCTCTGTACAGATGACCCTGTGGAGGGCCGTCTGCTGCCCCGTTGGCCCTGGGGGGGGCCCGCCTGCTGCCCCGTCTGTCACGGTGCCTGTCCAAGCCTGATCTGTCCTCTGTACAGATGACCCTGTGGAGGGCCGTCTGCTGCCCCGTCTGTCACGGTGCCTGTCAGGCATGCTCGTGGGAGAGCTGGGTCTAGAGGGGCCAGGCGGGGCTGCTTAGCATCTGCTGCTGGATCAGGGTCTGGAACCTGCAGGAACGGCCCAGGGGCCCAGGCCTCGGCTTGCTTGCCCGTCAGGACCCAGGATCACTTACGAATGGTCAGGACCCCCTGACATCCTTCTCAAGACCACCAGAAGGGGTGCGGGGCACTTCCGGCTTCATCCTACTCTCCTTGTCTGTGGAGATGGCCGGCCCCCGATTTCACCGGGTAGCCCCAACCTGGGCTGTGCCCCCCGTGCCGCTGCACCCCCATCTCTCCCGGCTCGGCCATGTTTGTTCCCTGAAGCCAGAGGCTCCAAACGTGGAGAGGAACGGCCCAGCAGGGTCTGGGTGCCACCCTCGTGACCTCAGAGACCAGGGAGGCAGACGGGCGCTCTGCCGAGATCCGCAGGGAGGATGCGTGTTCACGGCGAGTTCACGTCCGCAACCTCAGTTCAGAGCCGTCTCCAGAAGTCGGTCCGTGGAACTGACCTTGAGAGAGCAGAGCCACGTCCAGGGACGTTTCTCGAAGGCACTGGGCACTGGAGCCAGTTCCCATCACCGTGGGCACCGTCATTTTCCACTGTCCAGTGCCGCTGTGGCTGCCCCTCCACCTAGCTCCCACTGAAAAGCAGGGCAGGCAGTGGGTGGCAGAGCCCTGTCTGCCGCGTCCCCAAACCCGCACAGGCCTCTCAGGCCAGAGAGGTCCTGTGGGCCCCGAGTCCCAACTCTGGTTGGGAATATAGCCAAGGTGCCTCCAGGGACAGGGGTGGGCGTTGTCATCGTTGCCAAGGGCCGAAGGGTGACTGCAGGTCAAGAGCAGTCGCTGGAAGGCCGGGGGCACCAGAGCGGTGTCTGGCACACTCAGATTCCTGGTGCCAGGCCTGGCGGGGAGACACCTACAGGCCCACCGCCCGCTTGACGCACTGCCGTCCCTCCCCAGGATGAAGCCTGCCGGGAGCGTGAATGACGTGGCCCTTGACGCCTTTGATTTGGATCGAATGAAGCAGGTGAGCGTGCCCTGCAGCTGGGCTGTCTCTGCGTTGTGGCCAGGCCCAGGGGCCCACATGCTGCTGCCAAAGGCAGCCAGGACTAGCAGTGGAGAAAAAGGGGTGCCCAGACCCCTCGTTTGTCTCCAGCTCCAGCCATCACCAGAATCAGGGTTCCTCTTTCTGCCCTCCCCCCCAGCCTGCTTTGGCAGCTCCTTCCCCCAGGGCAGCCCTTCGTCCCACCGGCGATGCCGCAGGCAGGGAGCAGGGTTGCCTGGGCACCCACCAGGCTGACCCCTGCATCCCGAGCTCTGTTCCCACAGGAGATCTTGGAGGAGGTGGTCAGAGAGCTGCACAAGGTGAAGGAGGAGATCATCGACGGTGAGTGGGCGGCGGGCGTCACCTGGGAGGGGCTGCTGCTGCCCGGCCGCAGGCCACAGCCGTCCAGACCCCACAGCTGCGGTCGGAGCCAGGGCCCAGGCCAGACTCCAGAGCTGCTGTCCCCACTGCAGCCCACACCACCCATCCCGCTCTCCGGTCAGGGCAAGGGCTTCCCACCGCGCTTCCCCAGAGCACCGCGGCGACCCAGCCGCATGCCAGCGCCACGTCCACAGACGCAGCGGGCGGTTTTTGTTCTTCAGTTCATGTCCGCTTTCATTGTGCACCTCCGGGCACTGGTGCTGGGGTGCTGAGGGCTGCCATCTCCCTGCGGGTGCAGGGCGCGAGGAGCAGCAGGACTACCTGTCAGCTGGGCTCTTCCTGCTGCTCGGTCCTGGCTGGGGAGCAGCCATGGAGCCCCCCCCAGACAGTGGGCACAGCGGGCGCTGCAACATACCCGCCCTTCCGCCCCCAGGGCCTTGGAGGGAACTGGCTCAGATCTGCAGCCAGAGGAAAGGGAAGGCCTGGGCAGGGCGGCAGGCAGAGCTGCCTGCAGGGCCTGTGGTGGAGTACACCGGGCCTGGTGGCCCCAGGGCATCAGCAGTGACCTGGGCTGGAGGATCCCTTGAACTCGAAGGCGTGGGGGCGCAGTGGCAGAGTGCTGAGGGGGCTCACAGAAGGAGGAGGAGGCCAGAGGAGCCCACCTGGGAGCAGGAGCAGGCCGCCTCCTCCTGGCCCGGCCCGGCCACACCCTGGTCCAGGCAGTCAGCCCTGGTTCCTGTTTGTTCCTCCGCAGAGGCCTGGGCTGGGAAGATAAGGAGTTAATGAAGGGGAGTGCAGGGCCTGGAGCCACCTGCGAGCAGCAGGGTGGAGGTGGGGTGAGGCGGGGTGAGCTGGAACCCAATCCTGCCATGCCCCCCCACCCCAGTCCAGGCAGAGGCAGCGCCAGGGCTTAGAAACCTCAGCCTGGTCTGACGCCAGCCCCCTCAGCTTTCTCCTGGCCACTGACCGCAGGCCCAGTGAGGTCTGGCCCAGGGGGGTCAGGGGAGTGGGACAGGGCAGGAGGGAGGAAGGGCAGGTAGGGGAGAGACCTGCTGGAGGTCAGGCGTTTCTCCCAGGAGAAGAAAGGATAGCTGTCTAGGGACAGGAGGGCCTGGGAGGACAGACAGGCCGGCCAGCCCCTGCCTCCACTCTGCCAGCAGGAGGGTCCAAAGCCCTCTGCGCAGCACCC